TCGTCTTTAAATTTACACCGTTTCTCTTCTTCTACGGGACTCGCTCGATCCTCAAAACGACACGCATCCGTCGCCGTTTCATCTCCCCGGGTTCGCGTCGCCGCTGCTTCGAGCTTCTACTGTCCGATCAGGTTACAGTTAAAACGGTCCAGAAACTCCAGAAGCGAAGGCGACGATCAGGGTACGACGTCGTTAGAGCTAACGCCGCCGGTGATGTAAGTAAATAAACATTACCTTCGTTTCTAAATCTATTTTTTCTTCATTCTGCAATATGGTTTGTGGAAGGTTTAATTCTGTATCAATCACTACACTATTCATACCTTTTAAATTTAGTACTGCCTTTTATTACTAGGAATTTAAGCCCCCCAATTGTTTTGGTTAAATTCGAAATACATTCGATTTTAAAATTTTAATTTTAACTTTATGGATTGGGTTTTAATTTTAAAATTAGATAAGCAGGCAGGGGGATTAAATTATTGAAATTAAAAGCAGAAAGATTAAATTTTGAATTTTCAAAGTGTACAGGGACTGTTTATGAAATGAATTTGTTACTGTTATGATTTTTTTTTTGTGTTATTGTTTTAGGATCCGTTTGATGACTGGGCCATTGACGATACGATGGTGGGTTATATGCTTTCATCTGATGGGGAATATAGCGATGGGGATTTGACATTAAATTTTTTGTCTGATGAGGATTTGCCTCTCCAAGAAGCTATAGCCAAGGCTTCCCATCGGCTTGCTTTGCGAGGAAAAGGCATCAAAAGACACAGGCAAGCTCTTTTACCAAGTTTCTGATGATAAAATTCTATAGGAGCTATTGTAAATTGTAATATGCAATTTTTTTTTGTTAAATGTAAAAGTATTACTTTCTAAGGTAAATGTCTAGATTCAAACCTATATAAGATAGAGAATGGGAACATCCTTAACCACTCAACCAATTAATAGGTCTTTCTATTTTATAGAGTGATTATATTATTTTACAAATTAAAGAAACAATGTTCGCATGAAAATACTCATTTAGAAATGATCAAACTATAGTCCAATGACCAAGTCCATAGCGTTGATGGTTTGATTAGGAAGGTGATGGTCTAAGTAGAATCTTGAACTTCACACTCACTGTTCATCGTCTTCTTCAATGTTTTTCTCTACTTTCTCTAGATCATCACAGATAGCGGTTCTCCGCCCAATCCAAGGAGAATGAACCGTCAAAGACTATCACCTTTCTACATAGACCATCAACATGTAGTAAAGGGACATTTTATACGATTGGACCTTTTCTTCATATTAGTCGTACTCTGTGCATACATGAATACTCTTTTAGGCATTTGTTGATGGATTGCCCAAATTAATTGCAGGATATACCCTGGGTTGATAATGAACTTGACTCTTATAGTCTTCGTGACAGTGGTTCTTTTAGTTGTGGTTTGGTGTAGATGGAAAATTGTCAGGCTACCTTTGGCTCCACTCTACTTGACCTCCCCATTTTTTATATCTTTGATCTTAGCTTCATGTGCAGGCTACGTCGGTGTCCCGTTGCTTAGAATCTTTAAGTTCCATTAAGTAGTTAGGAAAATAGGGCCTCCTAATATATGAGAAAGAAAAGGACCCCAACAATGGGTGGACTATTTTTTGTACCAGTAGGTATAGCTGTTGCAAGATTTGCAACCGGTGTTTATTCTGTTGAAGTCGCTGCTACTGCAGCTGCAACCTTTGCATTTGCTGCAATTGGACTACTCGATGACGCCTTAAGTTTCACCAAGAGAAAGTGTGGTATGGATCCACGGTTAAGACTACTTTTGGAGGTATCCATTTTCTTCCTTCCTTCTATCTTTAGTCAAATATGCGCAGTCCCTGTCGCCTTTGGAGTTCGTTTATCATCATTGCACTGATCTTGAATTGTTTGACAATGCAGGCGGCTGTTGGGGTTTGGTTTTCATATTGGTTGGATACTACGAATTTGTCGACACCCTATGGCATTTATATCTTCTTGTTAACTATTTTGATTCACATTTATCTGGTAACTAACATCTATTCTTGTGCCAGAAAATTTGTGAATAAATAACAAGTTTCCTCAACTTCTCATTTGAAAAAAGGGGGCTGAACTAATTGAATACAAGTATGAAAGTTGAGATAGTCATTCTTGTGAGAGAGGGTTATCATACAAGAGCTTTCAAGGGGAATTATGGCACTTAATGTGTGTGTCAGCTCAATTTCTTTTTCTTTTTGTTTATTGAATTATTTTTTTCATTCTGGAAAACAGTATAAAAATTACAGATTACGCTCTATCTTATCAGAATAAAGGGTCTTAAATGAATGATGATTGAATAAATAAACCACCATTGCTTCAGTTCATGTTTTAGGCTATCCTTCGAAGACCATATTTCATATTTTCTATTCTGGAATGATTCTTTTGGTTTTCACTTATATTGCAGGAAAATGCTGGTTCCTCTACCGTTGGGCCTTCTGTTCTTGGGAAAATTATACCTATTGTTGACTCCACTTTGTTCCCTTTCCATGGGAAAGGGGGTTAACTTAGCAGATGGTCTTGAGGGTCTGATATGCCCGAGTTAGTATAGATTACTTCGAACAGGCCTTGTCGTTACATTTCTCATCGACTCCACTTTGTTTCGTTTCCATTTTATCATATTAGCTGACTCTTCTTTTGCGAGCATTACCTTGCTCTGCCATGTTATGTAAACGTCTTCAACACATGATTGTTATTTTTCAATCTCGATCAGAACTTAGTATATTCGGGGCAGCAATGGCCGGGGCATGCATTGGTTTTCTTTTGCACATCCAGTACAAAGTTGCTGTAAGCATGGGCGACACCGGGTCTTCGGCCCTTGGTGGCGCATTAGCTGCAATGGCCGCTTGTACGGGAATGTTCTTTCCCCTATTCATTGCATCCGGCTTCTTCGTTTTGGAAGTATCATCTGTCATTATGCAGGTATACAATATGCATATCGGTTCGACTTTCTGACTTTGCATAACACGTCGTTGCCGGCTGCAGCTAGCGATGAATGTCGATGGTAACTGACACTGTTTTCTCAGGGGCTAAACTTTAAATACACAAAGCACAATGAGGGAAGTGGACGTCGGTTGTTTAAAACGGTACGTTTGCATCTTCATATGGAATTATGTGGGCACAAAGAGACCACTATTGTCGCTGGTGCTTATGTTGTTTCCTGTGTGCTGGCTTTATTTGCTGCTTACATTGGCCTTAAATCCGCATAATAGCTTTGATTATATATATATATTTATCTAATTGTATTTTGTAATATTTGATATATATATATATTCATCACTCCCTTTATGTGATTTCTGTTCGAATATATATATATATTTATCTAATTGTATTTTGTAATATTTGATTAGATTATAATTATTTGTGGTCCTTTATCTATATAATATTATAAGATATTTGATTAATTTTGGTGTCACTTGATATAGTAACACGTGGGATTTCTATTTTATACACAATAGCTTAACGCGTTTTTTTTCTTTACTTTCTGGTATAATTATTTGTGTTCTAACTCAATTAATTCGAATAGAATATAATAATCGGAGCTATCTTTTTAAAGTTGACACTTAATATATATATTTGTAAAAAAATTTATAAATTTTATATAAAAATATCAAGAACAATTTTTTTTTTAAATTGAAACCTATCGTTTGTCTCCGCCCAAAAAAATTATTATCAATTTTTCTAAAGTTTGACACATGATTCTTATTAGTTAATGTAGAGTAGGGGTGTTCAAATGGGTAATTCGGTTAATCGTATGAACTGCATTACAAAAAATTCATTAACCGAATTTTCCCCCCGTTAATCAAACCAAATTTTTTCTAAAAAATTTAACCAAATCGAACTAAGTTCGATTAATTGATCAGTTAACTAATTAACCGAAATTTATAAATAATATTTAAATAATATATATTAAATATTAAATTTTTTTTTGTTAATTCGGTAAAAATCGAGTTCAAACACCTCTAAAACTAAATAATATATATATATATATAATTTCAATTAATTCGGTTAATTAACTAATTTTGAACAGAATTAACCGAAACCGAAATTTGAAAAAAAAACATTAACCGTTAACCGAACGAACCCAAAATTAATCGACTGAAAATTCAGTTTAATCGGTTAATTTGATTTTAACCGAACAGTGAACACACCTAATGTAGAGGTTTATTAATAAGGGTGATCTTTTTAGTCTAATTTATACGTTTTTTTAATTTTGTTTTTCATTTTATTCTTTTACTACTGTATAAAGAATATTTGTTGATACACATGTTATGTAAATTAAATTCACATAATTTTATTTATTTGGACCTTAAAATTTTAAAATCTAAATGTTAAAATCTAAATATCTAAAATTTAAACCTTAAAAAATGTGAATATATATTCATTAACGGCGTGAGTGTTCAATAAAACATATTTACAACTATAATTGTAATTTTTTAAGAAAAATTACAATTAATTATTGTATTTATGCTTCACTTTGGCCCGAAAGAAAATAATATAGGCTTTTTGGCCCAATACGGCAGGCCAGAAAAAAAATTAGGGAAATAGAGCACCTTCACTTGTAATTTGAAATCTACAGCATTTGCTACCGTGTATGGAAACTTGTCACCTCAAAGTGGTGAGTTTCAACAAAATTTCAAACTTTTAACTCCGATGTGAGAAAAAAATAATAAAAAATATATATTTTATTGGAACTTGTCACTTTGAGTGACGAGTTCGAATAAAAAATATTATTTGGACAACTCATCATCTCAACATGACGAATTCCTTAAATATGTAACAAATGCCGTAGATCTCTAATGAAAAATGAAGGTGTCCTATTTCCCTAATTTTTTCCCTCTCTTCCCTATTGGGCCAAAAAACCCAATAATACAAGGCCTTCAAGATTTAAAATTTCACCCAACCCATTTAATAACAGTAAACTAATATAAATACAAAACCTGACCCGATAACCGAATCAAGTAAAATATAGACCTTTTGATATGAGAAAACCCTAAATGAGAGAGAGGGCCGCCACTTCTTCAGATATCATCTTTTTCTAAAAAAATGGTTACTTTCAGGGTAAGTGGCCAACGCCTCCTCGATTTCCATCTTTTAGCTTCAGTGTTCTATTGTTATTAATATTTCAGACTTTGTTCTTACAATTTGACTGTGGTTTTGTTCTGTTATGCTTGGGTTTCTATCTATTCGAAATTTTATTTCATTTGGCTCGGAAGTTATTAGCTGTATTTGGATCAATATGAAGAAAATGGAATTATTTGATACTCTTTTTTGGTTTTGCTTATGGTTGCAGTTTCACCAGTATCAAGTTGTTGGAAGGGCTCACCCAACGGAGAGCGATGGACATCCCAAGATTTACAGGATGAAGCTTTGGGCCACCAATGATGTTCGAGCCAAATCCAAGTTCTGGTTAGTGATTATTTTCATGGTCATTTGTGTTTTTTTTTAATTTGGTATCCCGCTTGAATGAAGCTTTGAAGTTTTCTGACTTTTGGGTGTTGTTGAATATATTCATCAGGTACTTCCTGAGGAAGCTGAAGAAGGTTAAGAAGAGCAACGATCAAGTCCTCGCCATCAATGAGGTATATTTGCCTTTTATAATTTACTCTGTATTAACTGATTTATTGTTGGGATGTTTTGTTGAAAATTATTGTTGGAGCCACTGCTTTGAGGGAAGATCAAGGTGCCGTTGCACCATCTCCGATGGAAAGCGCGGGCGTGGCACTGGGTGTTCCGGCTGCATTAGCTGCCTTGGCTTCAATGGCTGCATGGTTCTTTTGAACTTCATTTCTTTGTATTTATTTATCTTTTAATTCATTGGTGAATATTGTCGAAACCCTCCCTTCTTTTTCTGATTTATTTCCTTGCGTTTTCTGTTGGTTGATTGCTTGAAATTCCAAGCAACTGGTGTTCTGGATGGTGGAGACTGGAAATTTTATTGTTCTTTTCAAGTAATTAAATAGTTAATAAAATCTTGATCTATATCATATCTTTGGTGTTACTTTACCCATTCTAGTATATCTTTATATATATATATATATATATATATATAAATATCCACTTAACCGATCAACATACAAATTATAAAGAAAATATTCAAAAACCTTAAGATATTTAATGAGAATTTTCAAAACTAAATTGGGGTCTAATTAAAAACTTTGATGAGAATTTTCAAAACTTTTGAAGGGTTTATTTAAAAATATTCAAAAAACATTATGACTTGATGATAATTTCAAAACTTTTGAGGGTCCTAATTAAGATTATGCATATGCTGGACTCATCTCTATAAAATGATGGATGGCTGTTCTAGATGGTGGCCCAAACACCTTGAAAGCACCTTAGATAATATATATATAATAAAATTTATGTTATTTGTAATTTAACTTTAGCATTATAAATTAAAAAGACAGAATTAAATTCTTATCTTCCTATTTTCCAGTTTACTATTATTATTTAAAACTTCTTTAAATGAATTCTATGTCGCGTTGGAAATTTGGATTTTATTTATTTTACGAATTGGTAAGAATAGGATGTATATATATATATATATATATATATATATATATATATATATATATATATATATATATATATATATATATAATGGTCACAGTTTATAAAGATAATTTTTTTTTATGAATTATTGGATCGAAACCTAATTATTTAAATACTAATGAATTTAAGTTTAATGATAAGATTGAAGTTTTAGAAACTTTAATATATTATATGTGAGTTCAAGAAATTATATTTGAGTCATGGAGTGAAAAAAATAATTGGTGCAATAGAAATTATTTTCTGAATTAAAACTTTGTTAAAGTAATCGATGGAAGTTGTTAGAATACAACGATTTCTGAAAGTCGTTAGAAATATACAACGATTTCTACCTAAAACCATGTTTCTCTGCATAACCTGTATGAGAAAATTATCACGTAATCCTGACGATTTTTTAAAATCAATGTAATCCAGACAAATTTCATCGAATATTATTATAAAAATCAAAATTTAGAAAATAATTTCTGCCTCGCCTTATATTAACAAACTTTTCTGGCCCAAATATTCAAACAAATTAACTTTGAGTTCTTTTTAATTTATTTTAATTTTAGTTTTATCATGTATAAACGTCTAGATTTAGTTAATTGTGTATCACAATGATTGATTTTGATTATTTTTATTAGGATTTGTGTAACAAATATGGTTCGTCCAGGCTTTGAAATTCAAAGCCACCCACTGCTTTGAATAAATGGTGACTTAGAATTAAAAACATGGACTACTAAATATTTTATTATTTAGTAATAGGATAATTACAAAATTGAGTCATTGAACTTTAGGGTATTTTTAAAGATTAGTCCATAAGCTTCAACTATAAATACCTTATCCCATTTAGCTTCAAAATCATCCCAAATTCTCAAATCATTTCTTTATCCCAATAATAGAGAGTTTCTTGTGAGTAGTGAGTGTTTTATGAACACCTGTAAATTTTCTCTTTTAGTAAAAGATTTGCAGCAGCCCGGAGACGTAGACACAATTGGCTGAACTCCGTTATCAATTTTTCAAGTATTATTTTTTCGCTTTTATTTCGCATTCTTACTAATCTGGTTATAGGGAAATTACTCGTTCTCGGTTTATTTCCCAACAACTGGTATCAGAGCTTTTGGTTGTGAATTTTGTCAATTTTTTTCTGAGATTACTATTCATTACTATTCACGTGAATAGTGAATTCTTTAATAATAAAATTTTTATCGGCGATATGAATTTGTCGACGGAGGTGTTCTAATACAAGACGGTTCGCGGAAATTGTCAGAAACGATCCAAAGAAGCCAGATTCGAGTGGGAGCGATGGCTGCAGACGAAGGGAATGTGAAAATTGAGAAGTTCGATGGTGCGGACTTTGGCTTTTGGAAGATACAGATTGAGGATTTTCTGTACCAGAAAAATCTATATCAACCTCTCTCAGGAAAGCAACCAGAGGGCATGAAGAATGAAGACTGGGCCCTTCTCGACAGACAAGCCCTCGGAGTTATCCGACTGACATTATCCCGCAATGTTGCTTTCAACATAGCAAAGGAAAAGATCACGGCAGGTCTTATGGCGGCTCTCTCCAGCATGTATGAGAAGCCATCAGCCTCAAACAAAGTGCACTTGATGAGGCGATTATTCAATTTGTGGATGGCGGAAGGGGCATCAATGGCACAACATCTAAATGAACTCAACACAATCATAACCCAGTTGAGTTCAGTGGAAATTGAATTCGATGATGAAGTTTGAGCTTTAATTCTCCTATCATCTCTATCAGACAGTTGGAATGCTACTGTTACAACAGTCAGCAGTTCATTAGGAAACAACAAATTAAAATTCGACGATGTTCGGATCTGGTATTGAGCGAAGAAATTTGACGGAGAGAATCGGGTGAAGCATCAACCTCCTAGCCTTGCACAAGGAGTCCAGAGGGAGAACTTCAGAAAGAATTCAAATCGTGGCAGATCGAAATCCAGAAGGGGCAAATCAAGAACTTGAAAGAAAGATTTTACCTGTTATAATTGTGGCAAGAATGGTCACTTTAAAAGAGATTGTCGAGCACTGAAGAAAGATACCGATGCACAGGAATCTGCCAACGTGACAGAGGAGACATGTGATGCCATGATTCTAAGCGTCAACAGTCTGATTAAATCATGAATCTTGGATTCAGGGCATCTTTCCACTCCACCCCATGCCGAGAAATCATGAAGAACTATGTCAATGGTGATTTTGGGAAGGTCATCTAGCTGATGATGAAACCTTGAAGATCGTCGGAAAAGAAGACATCCGATTAAAGTTGTCAAACCAGACCACCTAGACGCTGAAAGGAGTGAGACATATTTTTGGCCTCAAAAGAAATTTGATTTATGTAGGACATCTTGATAGAGAAGGATATAGCACAACCTTTTCAGGCTGTGAATGGAAGATTACCAAAAGAGCACTCGTCATTGGTCGTGGTAAGAAGATTGATACTCTCTATGTAACCTCAAATTTAGAGAATATCATTACAGCCGCAGATGCTGATGAAAAATCAAACCTATGGCACCAAAGGCTTGGCCATATGAGCGAGAAAAGGATGAAGACGCTTTTGTCAGAAGAGAAGCTGCTAGATCTAAAGAATGTAGATGTCGAACTATGTGAGGATTGCATCTTTGGCAAACAAAAGAAAGTCAGTTTTGCAAAGATTGGCAAGACACCCAAGGCATAAAAGTTAAAGTTGGTTCATACTGATGTATGGGAACCATCTCCAGTTCCATCCTTGCAGACTCACTATATTATGTCACCTTCATCGATGATTCATCAAGGAGTGTGTGGGTTTATTTTCTGAAGAAGAAATCAGAAGTCTTTGATAACTTCAGAAAATGGAAGGTCATGGTGGAAAATGAGACTGGTCTGAAAGCCAAGCGGTTGAGGTCTGATAATGGAGGAGAGTACATAAATCGTAGATTCAGAGATTTCTGCGCAAACAATGGGATCAAGATGGAGATAACAGTTCCCTTGACACTGCAGTAGAATGTCGTAGCAGAGCGCATAAACAGAACTCTGAATGAACGTGCAAGAAGCATGAGGATACATGCCGGATTACCTAAATTTCTATGGGCTGAAGCTATCAACACTGCATCTTACCTGATCAGCCATGGGCCCTCAGTTCCTTTGGATGGCAGAATACCAGAGGAAGTTTGGAGCAAGAAAGAAATAAACCTTTCACACTTAAGAGTGTTTGGTTGTATTTCTTATGTACACATAGATTCTGCTGAAAGAAGTAAACTTGATGCCAAATCCAACAAATGTGTCTTTGTTGGTTATGGTGGTAATGAGTTCAGTTGCCGATTTTGGGACTATGAAAATCGGAAGATCATCAGAAGCAGATATGTTATTTTCAATGAGAATGTAATGTACAAAGACAGGGAAACCATAGAATCAAGTAGCTCCAATACCAAAGCTGAAACAAATGAATTTGCTGAGTTCGAGGAGATTTCTGGAAATGATGTTCAAATCAGTCCTGAAGCAGTTCAAGAAGAACTAGGCACACCAGCACTGAGACGTTCCTCCAGAATTCCTAAACCAACCCAGCGTTAATCGTCTTCTTTGCACTACTTGTTACTGGCTGACAATGGTGAACCAGAGTGTTATGATGAAGCAATGCAGGTGGAGGATTCAGTCAAGTGGGAGTCTTCCATGAAAGATGAGATGGACTCGCTTATGTCAAATCAGACGTGGGAATTAGCTGAATTACCACCAGGCAAGAAAGTGCTCCATAACAAGTGGATTTACAAGATCAAAGAAGAGCACGATGGGAGCAAACGCTACAAAGCAAGATTGGTTGTCAAAGGCTTTCAGCAAAAAGAAGGTATTGACTACAATGAAATTTTCTCTCCAGTCGTGAAACTATCTACAATCAGACTGGTGTTGAAAATTATAGCTGCAGAAAATTTACATCTTGAGCAATTAGATGTAAAGACAACTTTCCTTCATGGTGATTTGAGGAAGAAATCTATATGAGGCAGCCAGAAGGCTTCATAGAGGCAGGCAAGAAAAATCTGGTATGCAGGTTGAAGAAGAGTTTGTATGGTTTAAAACAAGCTCCTAGATAGTGGTACAAAAAGTTCGATAGTTTCATGAATAACAGTGGTTTTACTAGATGCCAAGCAGATCATTGTTGCTACATCAAGAGGTTCGATAACAACTTCATTATTTTATTGTTGTTTGTTGATGAAATGCTCGTTGCAGGCTCAGACATGCAAGAGATTATAAAATTGAAGCAAAAATTGTCGAAGCAGTTTGCTATGAAAGATCTGGGCACTGCAAAGCAGATTCTTGGGATGAGTATTAAGAGAGACACAAAGTCGGGGACTTTGATGTTATCACAGGCTGAGACCTCAACAAAGTACTCTCCAGGTTCAACATGTAAGATGCTAAACCAGTGAGTACACCTTTAGGTGTTCATTTTAGACTCTCCAAAAATAGTCACCAAAGAAGGAGGAAGAACGTGCACATATGGTGAAAGTGTCGTATGCCTCAGCAATTGGAAGTCTGATGTATGCCATGGTTTGTACCAGACCAGATATTGCTCATGCAGTGGGATCTGTTAGCAGGTACATGAATAATCCAGGCAAGGTACACTGGAAGCAGTCAAATGGATCATCAGATAGTTGCTGGGTACCACAAACAAAGCACTTTGTTTCAAAGGTGGAGATACGATACTGACAGGCTATGTAGATGCTGACTTAGTCGAAAATATTGATATTAGAAGAAGTACTACAGGGTATGCCTATACCCTAGGAGGAACTGCAGTGAGTTGGGTTTCTCAACTACAGAAGATAGTTGCTCTCTCCACAACTGAAGCAGAATATGTCGCTGTTACGGAAGCCAGCAAGGAGATGGTTTGGCTCCAAAGTTTCTTGGAAGAGTTAGGCAAGAAACAAGGAAACAATGTCTTGTACTGCGACAGTCAAAGTGCTATCCATATAGTAAAGAATCAGTCTTTTCATTCCAGGATGAAACATATACAATTGAGATATCATTTTATCTGGTCTCTTCTGGAAGATGAGATTTTGAAACTTGAAAAGATTAGTGGAGCTCAAAATCCGGCAGACATGTTGACAAAGACGGTGACTACGGACAAACTGAAGTTGTGTTCAACTTCAGTTGGAATGCTAGAGTAATAAGACCAGAAATTTTGCTACATTGATTGAGGTGTGAAGACAGATTAAAATCAGTCTTCAAGTGGGAGATTGTTGAAATTCAAAGCCACCGGCTGCTTTGAATAAATGGTGGCTTAGAATTAAAAACATGGGCTGCTAAATATTTTATTATTTAGTAATAGGGATAATTACAAAATTGAGTCATTGAACTTTAGGGTATTTTCAAAGATTAGTCCCTAAGCTTCAACTATAAATACCCTATCCCATTTAGCTTCAAAATCATCCCAAAATCTCAAATCATTTATTTCTCCCAATACTAGAGAATTTCTTGTGAGTAGCGAGTGTTTTGTAAACACCTGTAAATTTTCTCTCTTAGTAAAAGATTTGCAGCAGCCCGGAGACGTAGGCACAATTGGCTGAGCTCTGTTATCAATTTTTCGGGTATTATTTTTCGCTTTTATTTCGCATTCTCACTAATCTGGTTATAGGGAAATTACTCGTTCTCGGTTTATTTCCCAACACAGGCTGGTATATTACAAAGAATAACTGACAACACATAAATATGCATGCCTTGAAATGATTTTGCTCATTTTAAAACCAACAAAGTAAAGCTTGCAAATATTTGGTCAGTATCATATCTCTTCCCCCTATAAGAACACTTGAAATCTCTGCAATCCAAAAGACACAACATCTTCTCTCACTTTTGTAATTCTCAAGAGTGCTTCATCTTTAGTCTGAGTTAGACGAGAAAAATGAAGGAAGCAAAATGGTCATTGTCGGCATTATGGTTGTTGTTGTATTTGCCAGTGGAGCACTGCTTTGAGGGAAGATCAAGGTGCGGTCGCATCATCACCGATGGAAAGTGTGGGCATGGCTCTGGGTGTTCCTGTTGCACTAGTTGCCTTGGCTTCTATGGCTGCATGCTTCTTTTGAAGTTCATTCCTTTGTGTTTATTTCTCTTCTAGTTCCTTGGTGAATATTGGTTTTTTTACATTTGATTCATTTTCTGGTGTTTGGTTTTGCTTGAGTTTATCATCATTCCAAGCAACTGGTATTGTGTATGGTGTAGACTCAATTTTATTGTTCTTTTCTAGTAAATATAAAACTTAAGTCTTTGATTTTTATTGTATCTTTGGTGCTTGTTTACCCTCTTTCTTACTACCAATAGATGCTTAGAATTAGATCCTCAATACAAAACCATTGAAATCATAAACTCCAAAGGTCCATAAAACAATAGCTTACAAGTCACGTGCAGAAGCAAACAGGGGCTCCATCCCCAGTTCACATTTAAGCTACTACTAAGCCAAGTCATTATTTTTAAGACAATCTTAATAAAACATGAGTTGGGCAAACCAAGATTTCCATGCAAATGTGATTTGCATACTTGCTTAGTTAGATTCAAACCAGGTCTTCCCTTGTATATATATATATATATATATATATAGAGAGAGAGAGAGAGAGAGAGAGATCTCACACTACCATATGCACCGTTTCGGCGGCTATCATCAAGATATTATCGTCTTGCAGTTTCTGAAAATTGCAATAAAAAAAAAAAAGTGACCATCAGTTTATGAGGTTCAAAATGTTATACCAAGAACAGAGAAAAAGAAGGGTCATTCATCATTAAGAATATAGAAACTTCGTATTGATATTCCCATCCCATCAGCCCATATATCAACTCCAATATAGTAACGATCTCCGCCCTTGAGTAATGGTCATCAGCTCCGCTGTTGACAACATCCTGTACTTCCGATATAGATATGGTATCCTTGTGGTTCGTCCGCATATGCTGACCAAATTTAGCTTTAAATGCTTCTATTCTGAAATCAATCAAGAATGTAGGGGGAAAATGAGTTTAAAAGTTAACATGTGAAACAATAGAGTGCAGCTGAGTTTGATGAAGAAAAGATGGGTTAACGCATAATTGAAGTGTTTAGTTAGGACTCAGACCTTTCAAGCGAGCCGGTGGCAGTAGGCTGCTCAGCTGTTGGAGGATCATCTACTTCCATATCACTTGTGGTTGGGCTAATTGCAGCAATAGAGAAGGTCAACACATCAGGATAAATTCAATCATTTAGCGATTTTTAGATAAAATTTATACAAAAGAAAGTATCTACATGATAAAGATGCTCGGCAGTAAGCAACGCATGCTCATTAAAGACATATCGCATGCTTACCCTTGATGATCAGCTCTGTGTTTTCTTGCTTCTTCTTTTTGTCGTTTTTGTTCACGATTGTCCATCTCGGTCAATTCTTTATGATAAATAGCAAAATTTAGGACTTCTAGAGCAGCTTTAACATCAACTTCTGTAACCTGCCATGATAAACCACCATGAAATACAGCTATGAATTAAATGCATAAACCAAAATACATGTAAAGGGACATATAGTAAAGCAGCTATAAGCAAGGACTAAAAAAGAAATTCAACGACATAAACATGAAATCACTATAATAATTTTTGTTAAGGTAATCCCAAAGAACAAGATTGAATTTTAAGAGCAAAGCCTTTTTTTTAAGGGAAAAAAAGGAAAATAAACAGCATCAGGAATTCCAACTACTATCACTACAGAAAATTGCTTCTTTCCTGTTAAGAAATGATTACCTTTTTTCTTAACTTCAGCTTTGCATGAGCCGTTGACAGACGAGTTATGGTTTCCAAGGTTCTAGCCGTGATCGGAAGGATTCCACCAGTCTACAAGTATCAGAGTATTAGAAATTTAGAATTACAAATTGAGGTAAGCATGCCAAGTTATTCCTTGGCTGATTACAAAAGCAAACCTTTGCATTTGAACTGGCAGTTCTGAGCTCTGCATAAGCCGTTGCAATCTGTTCCGAAGCATGCAGATGAGAATACTTTAAAATAAGCTCCGGAAGTAAATTAAGGATTGCTGGGGAGAAAAGTTAAGAGGCAATCAAGGTTTCTTCTAGAAAAGATATTGCAGAATAACCATGCACAATATTCATATTGATTAAAACAGAACAAAAGTAGAAGGAATCAATTGAAATGGAAGGATAACATAAATGAATCACTGGAAAATAAATATATTAGTAAAAGAAAAGAATTGGCCCAACCTCATCAGTCAGATCAGGCTGAATCCTGTGTTTTGCACAATGAATATACTTTTTGAGGAAATTTATGGTAAGAGTATCACACTTCCGACCTCTTTGTGTTTTTCTCCCATGTAGCACGCGGTTATTCTTGACAAAAACAGATGAGTCGACATCAGCTTCATCTTCTCTTCCACATCTTGTACTTCCATCAAGAGCTGCCTCCCCTGCACTTTTAATCAATAACCTTAGTAGGTCTACACGTGCCTCCAGTCTTTAAGCATGTAAGGAAATTCTTTTCCTACCTCCATCAATAGCAGAGCGAAAACGGTGCATTCTCAAGACATGCTCATAGATTTGACGATCGATATCAGCATCCATTTGATCCAATACAATAAAGAGTAAATCAAAACGAGAAAGCAAGGAATCTGGAAGTCCAATGTTCTTTGTTGGAGTCATTGAACGATCATACTGCATATTCAACCAATAGTAGGGATAAGCTCAATATTCAACCTTGCTGGGGGGAGGGGTGAATGCAGGGTTTCAAATCGCGGTCGCGTTTATGGTTATTTCGGATTTACCATGATTGCGGCCGTCGCGGGTAACTCGGACGGAGGCGAAACCGCTATATCGCGGCCGAAATCACGGTCACGGACCGTTTTTTAAAACCCTGCATGAATGTGCATCTTAGCAACGGATTACACTTACAGTTCCATATATGTGCATCTAAGAATCAAATTGATAATGTTAATCAAGGTAAATTATAATAGTTTTCATTCAATCTGTTGGTCAGACCATTTCGTCCTACATCATGAGTTGCTATCTTTTATCGGAGGGGTTGTGTCTGATATTGAGAAATCTTTTCGAGATTTTTGATGGTTGAGATCAGTTGCTACACGAGGGTGGCCGTTGGTTGTATAACGGACCATTTGTACACCTAAACGTGTTGGGGTCTTGGTTTTCGTGATCTACGTCAATTTAATCTTGCACTTCTAGGTAAGTTTATTAGGCGTTGTATTCAGCATCCACAGTTTTATGGTGCGTGTTCTTTCGGCAAAGTATTTTCCGAATGGTTATATTTTTATGCTTGCTTGGGTTCACGTCCCTCTTGCTTTGAGAGGTATGTTTACTGCTTTATCGAAGTTCCGAGCTGGTTTACACTTGCACATTGGTATGAACAGTTCAGTAGGTATGCATCACGATCGATGGGGTTGTTCTTCTTCCCCAAATTCATTTGGACACTCATTATGTTGACTCTCCTGATGCATCTATCTGTTATGGCGATTTTATGATTCCCAGCTCTGCTGAATGGGATCTTTAGTGTGTGACTTATGTATTTACCTCCGCTGATACTTAGCTAATTACTCACTATCCGATTGCCCCGTGTCCAGGGATACTCTCATTTGGAGTGGTCATTCTTCTGGTGTTTATTATGTTCGCTCGGTTATCACTTTCTCATGCAGTTGAATCATCAAATGGAAGATGTTGCACCTCTTTGGATCTTGCTTTCATGCCTTCCCATTCCTCCAAAGGTTAGGCTGTTTGGTTGGTGAATTGGGCATGAAACGCTACCAACGGGTGCTCGTCTGGCATTAGTGGGGATTGCTACAGTTCATTGTGGTGTTTGTGGAATGCCTAATGAAACGGTTCTCCATGCCTTAAGGGATTGTGCCGATGCAACTTTCATACTCCGCACTACTGGTTTCACTTCGCCCGTGGTCTTTGCTCCTCAGCGCTCCGCTGGTGAGTGGTTAAAATCCATGAACTTTGTGTTGCCTGTTGAGTTAATCTAGTTGTCTCCAGGAGTTGTCTTTGTATGGTTTTGAACGTTAAGCATATTTTAGGTGGTTAGAATTTAGAGTCAGCAGTTAATAAAAGTAGGGTAGCAATTATTTGAGTAAAGTTTATATGGGTAGTTTTATTTTTAGAAAATGTGGGTTGTTATGATAGTGGTGCAGTTATGTTTTATATTTGCTTGTATAATAAGAAAACAAGAAAATGATGCAGTGTGTTGAGCATCACAAAATCCTCTGTGTTTTGTTTTGCGTTTCAAGTTTGTTACTAGCTTAAGAAAACCACCATTAGGTATCAAGAGCCAGGTTGTCAAAGCAATGACCTGTGAAGTAGGAGATCAATCACAGACATTTGCAGTGGTCAAACCGATGGCAAGAAGAGCCTCATTCCCGATCCAATATCCAACGTTAAGTTAAACGAACTACGGCATATGGGTTGTCAAGATGAAGATAATCTTGTGTTCGCTAGGAGTATTGTCAGTGATCGAAGATTGAGACACAGACGACGACAAAGATCAAGGCGTCATGGAAGCCATTTCTCAAGCCGTGCCAGATGACGTGGTGATGGAAATCGCTGAGAAGGAGACGAAAAAAGAGGCTTGGGATGCACTCAGGAAGATGCGGGTTGGTGAAGATCGCGTTAAGAAGGCACGCGTACAGTGCTGAAACGACAACTGAACAAGTTACACATAGAGGATTCAGAGACAATAAATGAATTTTCCATGAAGCTTACCACACTGGTGGGTGAGATTTGCTCCCTGGGCACGAAGCTCGATGACAGTGAAGTTATTGAAAAACTGTTCAGTGCAGTTCCAGATAGATTTCTCCAGATTATTGGAACAATTGAGCAGTTTGGCGATATTGAGAAGATGTCGATTTTAGAGGCAATCGATCGTCTTAGAACCTTCGAGGAAGGGTTTAAAGGGCGACTGCACTCAAAGAGTAGTGGAGAACAGTTACTCCTTACCCAGACCGAGTGGGAGGCAAGAATTCCAAATGCAAAGAGAGATGAAGGTTCCTGCAGCAACAAAAGAGGAGGACGTCACGGGAGAGGACGTGGGCGTGGAAATGGTGGAGGTCGAGGAAATGGTGAACGCAAAAACGAAGACCAAAAGCCACACAACTTCGATAAATCCAAGGTTAAGTGTTTCAATTGTAATGAATATGGTCACTTTACAAAAGAGTGTCCCAAGCCAAACCAAAGAGAGAAGGCCAATCTTCTTACAACACAAACCGATGATGAACTGGCACTGTTGATGGTTGAAACTTGTGTTCTCAGCCACGCAATACAGAAATTAACAGGTGTTACTACACGAAGACAAGGTGGTGCCAAAGATTAACAGCACCCAAGACAAGGCTTGGTATTTAGATACCGGGGCAAGTAACCACATGACCAGTTTATTGAAATATTTGCTGAAATTGACACGACCATTAAAGGGTCAGTCAAATTTGGAGATGGCTCGGCTGTAGAAATACAAGGAAGAGGTTTAGTTTTATTTGAATGCTTCACATGTGAACATCGTGTACTTACTAATGTCTACTATATCCCAAAGTTGAAGAGCAACATAATAAGCCTTGGTCAGTTAGATGAGAATAGATGCAAGGTTGTAATTGAAGGAGGAGTAATGTCTATCTTCGACATATCACAAAGGCTACTAGTAAAAGTGAGCAGGTCAAGTGATCGCTTGTGAATGCATATGCTAAGGCAAGCAATGTGCAAGTGTACACAATCGATGCAAGTAATATAGTAGTGAGTGAGTATCGTCTTCACAGGGATTGGAGGGCTTTTAAAAGGTTGCTACAGCTAGGAATAGGTGTCACTAACTAATCCTAAGTATATAAGTCTAATAGTATAAACAAGGAAAATATGCAATAGTAAATGGTATGAATAGATCGAAAAAAGTATGGCTGAGGTAATAAAAATATGCAAAGGTAAACAAATAAAAGTTGTCAAGGTTAAAGTTATCAAAACTCTGTAAATAGACTGGAAACCTCACACAATCAGACTTCTAACGGAGCACTTCTGTTGGTTTTGCTATGGCGAGAAGTTATTTCATACTAAGAATGATTTGGTATGCTATGCTTAGGCTTCTTGACAGGATTACTGAGTATTCTTAGACAGTTGCTATGACAATACTACTCGGCGTGAGCTACAACCCTTGGTTTGTCAGACTGTTGTTGCGGCAATACCTCTCAGCGTGAACTATAGTCGTTGTCTATCCTACTCAAGCATCTATCCCTTTTAGTCGATTGAAACCCTCTCCTTATCTCTAAGGTAGACAAGTTAGAACATCACCATCCCAGATCCATTCCATTGTTCATGTAGATCTTTCTTAATTCTCTCGAATCTAAGAATCAATATCTAGACAAACGACAATCTCTCAAAGCAGTTATATTTTCAAGACGTGTTTCACCTAGACCCTAGGCAATCTCCCGAAGCTCTTACAGTGTCAAGGCAAAAATATTAAAACAATGAACAAAACAACACTTAACAAAAACATACTTAATCATTCATTAACGGTAAAATAAAATCTCATCCAAGCATTCCAAACACCAAATAAAATAGTTCATGGTGTGGTTAACATCATCTCAAAAATATTCATTAAGTACAAGCCCTTAGAAAAGTAAAACATGAAGAACAAGAGGAAGAAAAACTCCCAGAATAGAGCTCTGTCGTGACATCAAACCACCACCATGACTACTCCAACGCACCAGCCTCTCTCGAGGGTCTGGCCGCTGCCCCGACAAAGTCTGGTTATGGAGGGCACCAAGGACAGACGAGTGGGGGCTGTGGAAAAAGGATGTCGCGTCCGCCTTTTTCTAAACCTGGGGAATATTCTATGTATGATTCTTTCCCCTCTCTCTCTGCCCTTTTTTGGCGGTTGTGACTGGGTATTTATAATGGAAATTTTCCTAGGGTTTCACATCTTTAAATGCTCCCTAAATAACTGTTTTTTCTTGTCCAGCTATAAATGGATTTATTGCACGTTAGGTCAATCAGGCAGCTGTTGTTAGACTTTTGGGGGATTTATTGCACGTTAGGTCAATTAGGCAGCTAGCAGGTGACGTCAAAAGTTCGTCAGATTCGCGCCAGACTTGCAAGATTTTCCTTGCCTTGGCAAGGAAAATATGTTCTTCACTGTCTTCGTCTTCTGTGTTCCATTATCACTATCAAATTAATTTGTGTCGGCAAATAAATTTTTCCTCAGACATTTCCTGCATCATCACAATCAACAAACAACTTTTCTCATCAGCAACATCAGTTTAATCAAATAAACTTTGCATCGGCAAAACTTATCCACCATATGAAAATATGTTCTAATGCAACTATATGAAGCTAAAATGCTTTGTCAATGGCTTTTAGACAATCAATAACTTAAGTAAAAAGACTTAAAATATAGTCTTTTTACGGAGTTATCACACCCCCAAACTTAAGCTATTATTTGTCCTCAAGCAATAGATAATAAGCAATTGAGAAATAAGTTGCCATGGCGGAGCAAAAAATTAAGACAATCACGTGGTTTAAAATTTCAACCCTTAGCAAAAAGTTTAGCCTCAACATGGTAGACTGTACGAGAAGTCAAGTACCTTTCGTAGGTCAAGATTCTTTATCGGTGTGTGTGCATGATTGTATAGCAGTCTATGCTTTAACGTAATTAGAAAGCTTATAAGTAAGCGCTTCTATTTTGCCAAGACATCAAATTGTTCATCAAGCATAGTTTCACTCCTATTTTATTCAACATGTAACTTCAACTTTTTTTCATACTTCAAGGAGAGTCAACTCATCACACTACCATCCCACACTCTAGATGAAAGGGAGCATACCTTCCACCCCCTAGCTAGTTAGGTAGAGTTTTTTTTAACACTGCTTCGAGGAGAGTCAGCCCATCACACCTACCATCCCACACTCTAGGTGAAAGGG